CCTGCAGAGGAAGAAAAGGGATCAAACTATAACGCATAGGCATAGATAAATAGATGGTCGGATGAAGTCGAGAATTTCTGTTCGAAATTTATTCGTATTGAACTTGATATAGAATCGTATAATACTCGCAGTATGAACCGTGGCAAAATATATTTTGCTTTGTCATTATTGTGCTACACGTTACACGTACAACCAACCCAATGTGCGGAATATCACTGTGTATGGTACGGAGACTGCGGCCCTACGAAAAGTGGTTTAAGACGCACATGCTATTCAAACGGTCCTCCGCGACCAGTAAACAATGCAACAGCCGAAATGCTTCTTCGTGGAAAATGTCCACAATTATTTCAAAATAAAGGTATATATAATATATTCTTAATTTCGATTCTTAATTTCGATACTTAATTTCGATACTTTATACGCTAGTAGATCTTTTCACGTACGTATCTTTCCAGACTCGCCAGAATTATGCTGCGACGTTGATAATATTCAAACATTAGTTACGCAACTGTCCATGGCAGAAACAATTTTTGGCAGGTGTCCAACTTGTATAAAAAACGCATACAAGTTATTATGCGATTTAAGCTGCAGCCCTGAACAAAGTAAATTTTTACGCGTCACGAAAGTGAATAAAAATTCAGAAGACAAAGAATACGTAGAGGAACTCGAAGTGAGTGATTAAGCCGGATTTTAATAATTCAATGAAACAACTTGGCATAATAATTGCGTAACAATCGCGCAATATCGCGAGAAATGATCATCGGAATAACGATCGATTGAATCTGAGTTTGACTTATAATTTAGAAGTGAAATTGTCGAAAGTAAAATGTAAACTGTATAAAGTTCAGCGAATTTGAGAAATTTTTCAAATTACTCTGTATCATTACTCTGTACAATTTAGTAAATTACATCGGACATCAATTTTTTTCAGGCTTACATTGCAGAGGAATACATGAATAATACCTACAACTCTTGTAAAAATGTCGTTTATCCGATATCTGGTAATTTAGCTATGGATTTAGCTTGTGGAGTTCACGGTGCTAGCAGATGTACTCCAAAATTGTAAGCAAAATGATAATAATTGATTGGAAAATTTCTATTAAATAAATTATGATAATCTATCACGTTTATACTCGCATATTTGTGTACGAAAGAAAGTTTACTAAGTTTAATAAATTAATATAATTTTGAAATTAATAAGAATAAGAATTTGAAAGAATGCGATCGTAGGTGGTACGAATATCAAGGTAATCCGGATGAGAATAACTTTATAAGCTTCCGAATGATTTTTGTCCCCGATAAACCCTATTGGAACGAAACGGTGAAATCGTGTGAGGAAACGTACGATGTAAGTACTAATCCAGAGAAACGTTAACGCGTGCATATTTTAATTATTAATCTATTTTGATCACTGCGCGAACCATGAAGCTAAATTTATCTATAACGATGTCACTGGCAGTGTCATTCCGTTTCCTAGGGTTTATCACCGTGTAGTTGCGTCGATTGTCCAACGTCCTGTCCTTTACTCCCATTAATCCATTACAATCATCGCTTCGTTATCGGTGGACACAACGGTTATGGAGTTATAGCTGCAATTATTATCGCTGTAGTCGCCTTGTCGTGTATAGTTCTTTATATACTCGCACAGAGAAGATCTCTCACAGGTATTATATTCAATTTATGTACATATGTATACACATGTATGCATATACATACGTCTGTATGCATGTGTCTGTTCGAATTGCCACAGATATAGAATCCGATGACGAAGAGGAAAATACGCAAAACAAAGACGAAGCTAAAGGAATTTCTTGCGAAAGATTTCACAACATGTTTCATGTAATTTTTACTGCTTGGGGTAAAGGTATGCTTCTACGATAATTTGTATCTCCTCTAACTTACTCTTTCTTTAAACCATCTTCTCCTCTTATGCCTAAGAGAAGCCTAGTCATTGATTATCCCATTTCTATTAATACGTCGAACTGTTACCTTTTATTTTCTTATCTATTTCACAGCATTCGCAACACGACCGATCATCGTATTGTTCGCCTTCTCCTATATAATATTGGGTCTAAGTTACGGAATTACGTATCTTTCTGTAACGAGTAACCCGATAGAGATATGGGCAGCACCTACTAGCAGAGCTAGAATCGAAAAAGATTACTTCGATTCTCATTTTCAACCTTTCTATAGAACTGAGCAAATTTATATAAAAGCCGTGAATCTCGATAAGGTAAAGTTGTTTGATTATTTCCTTCTTTTTTACCCTCCCTTTCATCAAATTTCGTCACCTACTTAAATGTACGTCTTAGTCAAGTTTAGCATTATTTAGGTATTCCATGATACAACGAGTGGTCAACTTGTATTTGGTCCTATATTCAACAAAGAATTTCTGCTCGCTGTATATGATCTTCAGGAAAAGATATTGCATGTAAATATATTTAGTCACCATTGGAAACAACTATAAATATAACACGAATACGAAGTTATATCGATACGGTAATTTCCAGCTTGGACAAGAAGACGGAGAAGGTTTGGAACGTATCTGTTATGCTCCTGTTAACAACGGTACCAGTCCTGTTACTTTAGACCTTTGCATGGTGCAAAGTGTATGGGGATATTTTCAAAACGACCTTGATGTTTTCAATAAAACGCAACTATCGAACTCGTACGAAGTAAATTATTTGGATCACTTGTACAAGTGCGCGCAGTGAGTATTTGCATACGTATACGCTTACGTACAATAACGCATACATCCTTAACTATACATAGTATATTATCATCTACGCTTTGCTCTTTTTTCCTCTTTCTCTACGTCTCTTATAATCCTGAAGAAATGCTTATAATCCCGAATGTTTGGCGCCGTATAAAGGACCAGTTTTTCCCGCGTTAGCTTATGGGGGATTCCTTCGAGAAGATGAATTTAACTACGATTCAAAGGATTACATCAAATCGACCGGAATAATTTTATCGTTTCTTGTAAAAAATTCACTGAACGAAGATGTCCTTGAATCAATATACAAATGGGAACAACGGTAAGACATAGGCTCGATTTACAAATTTACTTCGACCTACCTACGCTACCTACGATATCTGTACTTGCGTTCAATCTTCTAGATTCATTGACTTTATGAAAGAATGGGACATTAACGAGAGACCAAAATTTATGGATGTCGCTTATACTACGGAAAAATCGATTCAAGATGAATTAGAACGATCTTCGAGAGCAGAAGCAGTAACAGTAATTGCCAGTTACGTATTGATGTTTCTATACGTAGCCTTTGCTTTAAGCGAATTGAAATGTTCCGTCAAAAAATATTTCGTAAGTTTTCCCGTTTATCCGTCGCTTCTGCTTCGTTCTCTTTAAACCTCGCGTTAAACTATGTCATATGTCGCGCGATCTATTAAACTAAATATTACCTTTACATCGTTGTATACTATATTTTGTAGGCAAATAGCAAAATAGTGTTAAGCGTCGGTGGTGTTATCATGGTAATAGCATCGGTAGCCTGTTCTCTCGGTATATTTGGCTATATCGGTGTATCCACGACACTTTTAACGATCGAAGTAAGTATTTATTTTCTTGCATCTTCTTTCAACGATAGAACATAAGCGATACAGTAGTAGTTATTCTTTTCCGTACATGTACGTACTCTATATGTGTGTATGTGTGTGCGTGCGTGCGTGCGCGTGCGTAGGTAATTCCATTTCTGGTACTAGCCGTGGGAGTAGACAATATTTTTATTTTGGTTCATACTCATCAACTAAATCCAAGACGTGCCGAAGAATCGATACCCGATCACATTGGGAGAACCTTGGCAAAGGTTGGACCGTCCATGTTACTCACCAGTACTTCCGAATGCTTGTGCTTTCTCATCGGTTAGTACCGATAATTTCAGCGAATCGGTACTATACACTAAACGTTTGTATTTTCAGGAACGATATCGTCAATGCCCGCGGTAAATACTTTTGCACTTTATGCCTTCTTGTCCATCTTGATCAATTTCTTCCTCCAGATAACAGCTTTTGTTAGTCTTTTAGCGCTAGATGAGCGACGATTCAAGGTAAATAATCCCATATGCGTACATGCACTTATTATCCACTTTCTTATAACACGTATCCACTAATATAATTAATTCCCTGATACTTTAGAATAAATTTTTAGACATATTCTGTTGTGTCAAAGTGAAGCAAAAGAATATCATAATCCAGGAAAACTTTAGTTTTGCACATACGATCTTTAAACGTTTTTACACTCCTTATCTCATGAAAACACCTGTTAGAATAGTCGTATTAATCGTATTTTTCGCTGTTCTGATCACACACGTCATAGTATTACCGGATATTGACATCGGATTGGATCAAAAACTCTCAATGCCCGGCGATTCTTACGTTTTGAAATACTTTCAGGTAATGTATGTCTACTTGTATAATATCATTTAATGACCAAGTATACTCTCTGTGCAGAATGATCAGTTGAATATACGATTTAATGTTAAACGTTTTTTTCTTCCTTTTTTCTAGTTTATGGAAGACCTTTTGTCCATGGGGCCACCTGTTTATTTCGTATTAACCCCTGGACTCAATTTTAGTAATAAAACGGTACAGAACGTAATCTGTGGTGGTCAAGGATGTAACGACGATTCTCTGTACACGCAAATCTATTCGGCAGCCAAGCAGCCTGCAATGTTCGTATAATTTGTTTCGTGTCAGAATTTGCCTTCTGCCCTGAACAACGGTACGCATAATGACTAACGATATTTTATTCGTCACTAAATGTTAGATCATACATGTCGAAAGCAGCATCATCTTGGATAGACGATTATATGGATTGGTCAAAGATTAGCGGTTGCTGCAAGTACTATAAAAATAATCAATCATTTTGTCCACATACAGCCGGTAATCATCGATAATCTCCTTATTTATGTGAAATATTTACTCATAAGCATATTTCATTAAATATAATCGAAGCTTGTTTCTATATATATATATATATATCTATTACAGTTTCGTGCGATCTTTGCGACATTAATATCGACGACTTTCGACCAAACGTACATAGTTTTCGAAAATACATACCTTACTTTTTAAAAGACGTTCCAGATCCTAGTTGCGCTAAAGCTGGTCGAGCTGCGTACCTTGATGTAAGATCTACTCCTTCCTTCTTCTAATTTTCTTTCTTCTTTGCTCTTCTCTTTTATTCTTTGCTCTTCTCATCTTTACTTTTACAATTCCGTAATAAACTTATAATTAATAATCCGTAATACACTTAATAAACTTACAGGCGTTAAATTATTACACGGACGAATACGGACTGACTAATGTCAAGGATAGTTACTTCATGGGATATCATACCCCGTTAAAAAAATCATCCGATTGGTACGAATCTTTGAAATCTGTTCGAACGATCGCTGACAATATTACAATGATGATAAATAACGAACATTTAACTGACCAGAAAATAACTGTATTCCCATATAGGTTTGTCTCATTTCTCGTCTTCCTAGACAGTTTCAACTTAACTTCATTGTTATCTTTATCACCAAACTTATGAATTGTAATTTTGTTGTATGACACTGAATTATTTATTACAGCGTATTCTATGTGTATTATGAACAGTATCTTACAATTTGGATAGAAACAATATCATCATTGGGTTTATCTCTTTGTGTCATCTTCGTAGTGACTCTTATTTTAACAGGATTATCATTATTTTCGGCAATAATGGTAGTATTAACCGTACTCATGATCATCGTCAATATAGGTGGTCTTATGTATTGGTGGCACATCGAATTAAACGCAGTCTCCCTCGTCAATTTGGTAGTGGTATGGTAACACAGTGATGTATAATATAATTGCAGGCTAACGATAATTTATACAAATTTATATACATGCATACACATGTATATCCATATGTACTCGAATAATTTATAAAACAAAACGAAATCGACGGAATATAGGAAAATTAAATTCTAACTTCTTGCAGGCCGCTGGTATAGCCGTGGAATTTTCCAGTCATATTATACATTCGTATTTAAAATCCACGAAAAATACAAGAATCGATCGTGCATCTGACACGCTTAATCAAATGGGCAGTTCAGTGAGTATTCGTTAATATATGTAATAATCAAATACCTATATATCAATGATGATGGTACAGCGTGCGTATCATCTAAGCAATTTCTATTACTAATCTAAGAAAAACTCATAATGTTAATGTAATTTCTTGCTTTTTTAATCTTCCAATCAAAAAACCTGTTTACAGTACAGCTTTCTTCGTTGCAGGTATTCTCCGGAATTACGTTAACGAAAATTATAGGAATTGGTGTACTGGCATTTGCTAAAACCCAAATCTTTGAAGTGTTCTTTTTTCGAATGTATTTCGGTATCGTAATCTTCGGTGCTGCACATGGTCTAATATTTTTACCGGTACTACTAAGTCTCATAGGTAGGTATATGTATATATCAACAACATTAAATATATGTAGGGTCACACAGTCTCTACTCGCTGGAGAGTACCTCGGAATACTCAGATTCACTGCAGTCTGTATTTTCTATTCGATTCTCAATAATGCGTAACTCTCGCAATCACAACTCTCGGTCTCAACTCTCTCATGGACTACCTCAACTCTCTAATGACTATCTCAAAACTCTCCCCTATCTTCCAGAGCGGGCCCTTTTAAGCCAGTCTGGAAGGCAAGAGCCTCCCCCGAAGGAGGAGAAAGCTCCCTCCACGTAACGCTCTGGGGTGGAAGGGATTCCTCCTTCAGGTTAGGCTCTCCGAAGGGTCACCCACGCGGGGACCCTTCCCGAGAGGTGCCCACGGACGCGTCACCCCCGGTTTACAATGGGAAAAACCGGGGTTGAGCGAGGCTACCTCACATGGCCTGGCCCCAACTTCCCCATGCTCGTCTGGCCGCCAGACACTAACGGGGCCTCTATACCTGGGAAGTCAAAAAATATCCTACATATATCTACACACCTACATATATATATATATATATATATATTGGATCGAAATTGGATCGAGATCGAATGGAATAGCGAATAACGTTAGGATGAGCCACTGAATTATTAACATAAGACAAACACCATAATGATGTAACTTATCCTATCATCATATCAACGTACTTACATATGTCGCCAAAGATATAAAAATGGAGATTTCTGAAGCATTAAAGCAGCATAAAAAAAGCGTGAAATTAAGCGTGAAATTAAGCGTGAAATTAAGCATGAGATTAAGCGAAAATAAACCAGGTTATATAATATATACATGCCTCTATTGTACACTTGTGTATGTATAGATGCCCCTCTTTTCTCCGTATCATTCCTCTTGAATCATAATAAACATCAAGATATCGAAGCATTGCACAATATTTAAATGTATATGCACGTATTCTGTCGATGCGTTTATAATTATATTAAAAATATCAATCTGTTACAGGTCCATCGAGATTACCAGCAAAGCGTTCTAATTCAACGAAGAAAGAAAACAGGTTTAAAAGGTTTCTTACAAAAAAAAATACAACATATTCCTAGTTATTGGTCAGAATGCAAAAAAGTAAAACTGCTCGTGATTGTTAATTTATTATTGTATTTTCATCATACGCACGCAAAAATTATTAATACAATTTAGAGAATTGTGTTCGCTTTCGGAACAAATAACGCGCGTATAATATATATTACGTGCACAATTTTAATTTATCTACATTCGTGATACTGTATATTGTATAATTTAAATACAGATCAAACATGGAATAAAAAATTCAATTAACACGAGAGAATCCTTTAATGACATCAACGTGTTACTTCTCTCACCCCCGTGCTGTCCCACGATACATTTTACATAAAACTTCGTGTTCCTTGTTCCGAGATACCTGTTATACAAAAGTCAAAAGTTTTCTCATATCCTCTACATAACTATTTCTTGTTATATCCCCAATAAGCATTTCCATACTTTTATTATTAGATTGTACCTTCAGAATTTTTTTAAATTATGCTTTAATTTTCTGGTATAACGCAATGAAAATATTCTTAATTTCGGAAACTGTATTATAGGTATATTATAATTGGCTATATATTAGCATTAATCTTCAAACGAATAAGGCTAAGGATTTGAATTTGAATTTGAAATTACCGCTACATCGTTATTATCACTATCGCGCCATCATCGATATTTCTTGTAAAACAATGATGGTCTTCGTACCAAGTTCGTAGTAAATTAAGACAATGTACTCATAGAACGGTTTATACATTTTGCAACTAATTTTTCATTACAATGTCGAAAGCAAAAGTATCCGCAGAATGGAAGAAACGAGTAAAATCGGAATACATGCGTTTACGACAAGTGAAACGTTATAAACGGGCAGATGAGGTAAAAATAGCTTGGAATCAAAATCGTAAGGTTATGTCAGGTTAGTGTTTTTTTCTCTTTTTCATTGTCATTAAAGCTGAATATTTAAACTTTCTTATTTCTCAGAACTTTTAATCGCTGAACAAAAACGATGGGCAGATGGAAAAGCAATGTGGCTTGCGATGCAAGATATACCACCTCATGTATCGTGTATGAAAAAAGCAGAAGTAACCAGTTCCGACAGCGATATACAAACTTGTCCTGTTAAAATCATTAACGCGGTCACTCCTATACCAACTATGTATACTTGGGCTCCGATACAACAAAATTTCATGGTTGAAGATGAAACTGTTTTACATAACATACCGTACATGGGTGATGAAATTTTAGATCAAGATGGTACATTTATCGAAGAACTAATTAAAAATTATGATGGGAATGAATTTATTTAAAGAAATTTAATTTAATTGATCGATCACAGGTGCATGGAGATAGAGAATCAGGTTTCATGGATGATTCAATTTTTGTGGATTTGGTAAATGCTTTGGTACAGTACGAAAAGGAAGACAAGGAAAGGGAACAAGTAAAGAAAGGAAGGGACAAGGAAGATGATAAAGAAAAAGATAAAAGAGATGGCATTGCCAAAATAGAAATCAAAGTTGAAAAATTACTGGAAGAAGTTAAGACTGATAAAAATCCATTTCCATCTATGCATATATTTAATGCAAGTGATATATGTAGAAATATTTTATCCTAATATTTATAACATTTATGATATCGTCGTATTAATTACTTAGGCAATATCTAGTATGTTCCCTGACAAAGGTAGGCCAGACGAATTGAAAGAAAAGTATATAGAATTAACGGAGAGGTCAGATCCAAACATTTTACCACCAGAATGTACACCAAATATTGATGGAGTGAATGCAAAGAGTGTACCTAGGGAACAAACCATGCATTCCTTTCATACCCTCTTCTGTAGAAGATGTTTCAAATACGATTGCTTTCTTCATCGTGAGTATAAGAATAACGCGAAAAAGCTCCACTTTTCTTAAATTGGTTATATCAATCTATTTATAAAGATTAATACTGAGATACAACTTTAATGGCCATACACCATGCTGTATCCCTATTCTAAATTGATCATCTGTTAAGTACGATCATTTATGATTCCTGATTTATTGTAGCAGCCAGGGGAGTGTCGCCGTCAGGTAAAGAACAATATTGCATACAAACGATCGTATTTGAACGAACGCTTCTTTTTTTTGTGGACCATGAATTTTTTTTGGCCCGATGATGGAAGAACGAATGTATAAATATTAATTTCGTTTCATGTTCGATACCCGATTTGTCGATGATAACGTACATTCATTTTTTCCTTTTTTTTCTTTTTCTTTTTTTTTTTTTTTTTTTTTTATTTCTTATTTTTTATTTAGCATGGAGACGCCAATCAAGGATACATCTACAATCATATTTCGTTCGTCATTGCATTTCATATACTAATTTTATCTCTATCCATGATATTTTTCTTTAGGAATAACTTTAAACTGATTTTACATCGTTACTTATAGGACTCCAAGTTTGTCATCCAGGACCAAATTTGCAGAAACGGAAGGGACCTGATTTAAAACCATTTTCTGAACCATGTGGAACAGAATGTTACATGCATTTGGTAAAATTGGGAATAACAACAGCAATAGTCAGGAAAGAGGACAGATAAACTGCGAATAATTTTGTTCCGCAGGAGGGAATGAAGGAGAAACTTGCCGCCCAAGCGGCTGATATAAAAGATGATGAAAGTGATGAAAAACGCGGAGGACCCAGAAAAGTACGAAAACAAGCAAGCGTAGATTCTGGAAATGAAGCTAGTAGCGAAGATAGCAACGATAGCAATAAATATAGTCAGGGAGGTGGTTGTCAAGGTAATTGACTATAATTAACTTTCTCTAAATAAGATGTTTTACATTTGTATACCGGTCGAAATTCTAGTAGATTTATACGATGTTGTCGTATCAGATTTTAAACAAAACGTCAATAAAGAAACAAAATCCGAAGAATCAATGGAAGACCAGGCTCAACCAGAAAATCAAACTCCATTTACCCTTTTGGGTCTTGATAAACGAATAAAAACAGAAAGCGAACCATCGTGGACAGGTTCAGAACAAAGTTTGTTTCGAGCTCTTCATAAAGCTTTCCCCGGTAATCCATGCGCATTGGCGCAGATAATGCTGACTAAAACCTGTCAGGAAGTATATCAATTCGCACAAAAAGAGGCGTCGGATATTCCGGCGGTCGAAAATTTGAAAGATTTTACTCCACCGCGAAAGAAAAAAAAGAAACATCGACTTTGGTCAATGCATTGTAGGAAGATACAGCTAAAAAAAGATTCTGGTGAATATCCTAAAATATGCAATATATTGCTACTCCTCTCTTTTTCTTCCTTCTTTCTTCTCTTTTTTTCCTTTTTCTTTTCCTTTTTTCCTCTTATGCACACATGTATAAATAAGAGAGAATTATAAATATATATATTATACAATAATTGATTCGTATTTCAGAATTTATATTATCTTTTGATATATTCATTTTTGCTTTCAAGGTGCTAATCACGTTCATAATTTTGCACCATGCGACCACCCAGGAAGACAGTGTGACAACTCATGTCCATGTATACAGGCTCAAAACTTTTGCGAAAAGTTTTGCCAATGCAGTAGCGAATGTCAAAATCGTTTTCCAGGATGTAGGTGTAAAGCTCAATGCAATACGAAACAGTGTCCCTGTTACCTAGCTGTAAGGGAATGTGATCCAGATCTATGTCAGACATGTGGTGCCGATCAGTTTCATATTACTAAAATATCTTGTAAAAACGTTAGCGTTCAACGTGGTCTCCGTATGTAGAATTTCTTTGATTTCCTCGAATAACAATTTATGTAATCGTAATATTGAATTTTGTTATGTATGAATGTTATTTTGCAATTTTAGATAAACATCTTTTAATGGCACCATCCGACGTGGCTGGCTGGGGAATATTCCTTAAGGAATCTGCCGCAAAAAATGAATTTATATCGGAATACTGTGGTGAAATTATAAGTCAAGATGAAGCTGATAGACGAGGCAAAGTGTATGATAAATACATGTGTAGTTTCCTTTTTAATCTTAATAACGGTAAGAAAAATGGCGTTTAACTTTTTTTGCTTTAACGACATTTAAAAATAATCAAATTTTTATTATCTTTATCCTTTTAATTTTTAGACTTTGTCGTGGATGCCACTCGAAAGGGAAATAAAATTAGATTCGCCAACCATTCAATAAATCCGAATTGTTACGCGAAGGTAATGATGGTAAATGGTGATCACAGGATAGGTATTTTTGCAAAAAGAGCTATTCAGCCTGGCGAAGAATTATTTTTTGATTACAGGTAAAATCCTGTACATTGTATTATGTATTATATTTTCTGTGTATTATATTTACACGTTGCTTTCTTTACAGATACGGGCCGACGGAGCAATTAAAATTTGTAGGTATTGAACGCGAAATGGAATTTTTATAATATGAAATAAAATCCACTACACGGTATTGTACATAACACAAAACGACGAGAAAAAGAAAGTAAGGCATAAGAAAAAAAAAATACGAAGAAAAATAAACAAGGCAAATATTTTCCATGTTGGGTACCTGATATAAGTTCACTGAACCATAATGTTACATTTTTTTGTTACAAATAAATAAAAGGAAGGAGAAAATAAGGTGGAACTAATAAACTTTCATAACCAAGGCTGCAAAATACTTTTATTTCTTAATAATGTCAATTAATAAACGATATATTTTAAAAGACGTAATATTCACAGTATTATTTATGACCCTTTATCATTTCATTTCATTTCGCGTTTAACCCAGAAATAGCCAAAGATATTGTATTAAATATTATTCTCCGTTTTTCAAATAAAAATTGGTTAAAAATATAATTTATAGTTTTGATAGAGATATCACATGATAGAAATAAATCTGAGTTTTAATTGAAAATATATCATAACTCACAACAGCGATACTTGGAACGAATCATAGGAAAGCTTTGCGATAAACTTGGCTCATAATTTAGCTGCTAGTCACGATCGTTGTATCAAGACCATTTTCTTGAATAGCTCGTGTGTACGTTAATCAAATATCATAGTGATCATCAGTAAATTCTTATATAACTACAACTTAAATAACTACAAAGTGGAATGTTTATACGCTTTAAAGTAGATTAATCAATGAATCTCGTCGGAAATATAATTAAATATAATATTGATAAAAAATAGTGCTCATGTTGATCGAATAAGCCGGATTTTTCTCTGTTTCCCACTCCTCCCTACTTTAACGTTCTTCCCACACCTTGTTACCTCACGGTAAAGAATCCAAAAGTGTAAAATCTCTATGAAGTAATACATAAAATTCAGAAGTACGAACACGTGCAGTGCATGTATGCTTTTCTTGTGACTCGTTCGTTTTACAAGTTCCAAATAATCGGACCAATACGAAAAAAAGAAAACACCGTTTTAAATAGTTGATCGATTAAAGCTAAAGAAGCGGGAAATATCGAATAATCAATGTTAGAAAACATGAAGCAGTCAAGACGATTAAAAGAAGAAACGAAGGCAGATTGTTTTACCAGTATTATACCAGAAGAAGGTAATGATCTACATAAATTTTACATGATATCATACTTTTAAATAGCGTAAATTGAAATAAACTCAATATATGTATTTCATCACTATGCCCTTACTATACTTATGAAATAGTAAAAAAAAAAGAAAAAGAAAGAAATCATACCTTTCGATGTATCCTAATAATTACAACACAGACTGTAGTTCCTTCTAATTCGATTGAAATTCAACAAAACCGATCTACAGTAATATTACGAAATTATGAAATGTTACATCTAAGGTATTTTGTGAGTCAAGATATTTCTTTACACGAGTATTAAACTGAACTGCGTTTAATAATAGCAATTAATGCCGATTTATTCAAGAATACTAAATAATTATTTGATGCTTATCGTGTACAAATTAAGTAAAGATGGAGAAAGTGCAAGAAATTCTGTCTCATAAAATTCACATTTTGCTGGAAAAGATACATGTTGAAATTGCGCTTTAAAATTACGAATGATTAAAGAAAAGAATGAAACAAATTTCTGACGAAATAAGTCGAAAATAGCTCGTACTGGCAATCAGCCAACTTCCGAAGTCAACAGCATGCTGTGAAGAATCATAAACCCATTGGCTATTGCACACTTTTTGCTTTTTAATAAAAACGCAACATGATTCTACATATATATGTAATATGATTGTTTAAAAATAAATTGTCTAATATAATTGGTTTGCGTAAATTACGTAAATTAGAAGAAAGGAAATTAGATCGCTTTAAAAAAAAAAAAAAAAACAGATGATTAAGAATTGACATCATGGACTAGGAAAGGATATGCGGATCTTACTGTACTTACACACGATATCGCAGTCCTACTATATATGTACCTCAGAGCCAGTACATTTAACTTAACTTAACCTAACTTAACTCAATGCTTCCAATACAATCAATAATATGAATAAAAATTCTAATCGATAATCCTTGAATATTTTGCTGATATATTCTTGTATCATCTCTACAGCAGTATTTTACCTATAGAGTACACGAGATATGTATATATATTCATACGTTTCAGGAAAGTCACAGAAACATGTTGCGAAACAAGCCGGTATCGAGGAATTGATACAATTGCAAAGTAAATATGAAGGGAAATTAACGGCATCTCTCTATTCCGGTACCCTGTTCATTGCCGTCATTGCGTTAACTGTCGCTTTAGGAGTTCTTTATGTTAGCAACTATCAGGTAACTTTGAAAAATGTACTAGTCACTGTACATTTTTCACTTCGATATATATTTATATTTATTATTTCGCATTCAACTCTCAAACTAATTGCTACGTACAATATATGTACATACTTAGATTGTAGAACGTAAGAAAAATGACATACAAGATCACTTTCATTTCTTTTATTTTTATTTTTATTTACAGGATTTAGCCCAAGTGATTGTTCCCTTATCTGTATTGATAACATTACTACTGTCGTCGTTGAGTTTACTTTTAACAACACAACTGCCGTCAACTTTAACATCTCGTAAAGCTAGGCTCCTTATAGGTTTCGTTGCTTCTGCCACTTTAGGCGTTGGAATTTTAATCGTTCGTGCTTCAGTACCTTTGTTTATCACTGTTCACGCAATGATTGCCGTACTACCGAGAGACGCTCGACAAACACCAACGATCCTTGCAATTATACTGATCGTTGCTCATTTTGGCGGACGATTCGTACTTTTCGAACATTCAACATACTATCAAATTATTCAGGTATATTACATATTTACCTGAACCATTTTCTTCTATCACTATCTGCCACTTTTTTATACTTGTGTTTACCCACTCTCGTACTACTCGTTTGACTTCTTTTTCCCTATTTTTTGGCGCTTTTTAGACATGCAGCGAAATCATCTTCCTATTCGCTGCAGTTTTATCGGGTTCATATTATAGCATATTAACTGCAAAAGCACATAATAGGACGTTCTCTCGAACAAAAACGGTTATCGAATCTAGAATAAAGTTAGAATGCGAAAGAGAGCAACAAGAACAGTTGTTGTTGAGCGTTATACCAGCTTATATCGCTGCTGAGGTAAGCATCGCATTTTCCACTAATGATAATAGGTAGAACTATCATGTTGTTAAATAAAATTGAGATAGGTGAAAAGGAGCATAATGTTGAAAATGGCGGATGCATGTCAAGAGGCTAGTAAACACAAGCAAACCCGATTCCATGAAATGTACGTGCAGCGGCACAACAATGTTAGGTAAACTAATTAAATAGGATGATCTACTACTGCCTAAGTCAAATAACACGTAAAAATGATAACGATATTTATCTTTCAGTATTTTGTATGCGGATATTGTGAACTTTACTCCGCTTTCGGAACAATTGACAGCCTCGAATCTGGTAAAGACGCTGAACGAACTTTTTGGAAGATTCGACAAAATTGCTCAAGTAAGGGATGATCTCTTTTTAATTGGAATGTCCTTTGTCAACGAGTATTTCTTAATAATAAAATTACTGTTTATAAAATACCATAATTTTCTAATTTAACATTTCCTATGTTTTGGAATATACGTAAACATAACTGCACGTGTCAACTTTTAGGATAACCAGTGCATGAGAATCAAGATCCTGGGTGACTGTTACTACTGCGTTTCAGGATTACCCGTCTCTCGACCGAATCACGCGTACAATTGCGTGACGATGGGATTACAAATGATAGACGCTATTAAGTAAGGAAAGAAAGGATATTCCGATGTTACTCTAAAATTATCGGAATAAACGGAATCGATTGTTCTTAGATTTGTTCGTGAAGCAACGGGATTCAATGTAGACATGCGGATAGGAATACATACTGGAAATGTGCTATGCGGTGTACTTGGTTTACGAAAATGGCAATTCGATGTTTGGAGCGATGATGTGACGCTGGCAAATCATATGGAAAGTGGCGGTTTACCGGGGTAATTTATTACATAATGCGAGATCATACTGATCAAAGATTTTCGATTACAGGAATAACCAATAGTTAGTAGAATAACCAATAGAATAATTTTTCTTCCTGTTGACGTAGGTCCTGGCTTCATTTCGCTTAATGCTCTATTTAGTTTTTTTAAGGTAACAATCGCCTCCATCTTTATTGACAAAACTAAATAATTACCTCCGATCAATAACGAAAATTGCCGGCAATACACCTCTCTCTATTTCGTTTCGTATATCTTCTTGAACTCTCTATGTAGTATTCTAATGAAATAAAATTTCTACGCCTGACTGAAAAAGGACTTGTATCATAGTTGTGAAGTCACTGAGGCACGTGCTCGAGGACTCGCAAAATTAGGAGAAAAGCTGTATCACTCGTAAAGAAAGTTAGTTTGTAACGAATGTAAGAACATCATCTGGTGGCAACAAATGTGAAATATAACGAGTATCACAGAGATAACGGTAGATTGGTAGTGAAAGAAAACAATCAATCGTGAATCGCCAGTTGTATAAAGAAACGTATCAGAAAGCAAGTTATAGTGTGGAATATGCATTTAAATTACTTACATTAAAGTTTATACAATTTTTATATCTTAAACATACAAATAATTAGTAGTATTGGTACATATCGTTTAATAATCATGGCCAACACTTCCTTTAAGGAGAGTGCATATAACCAAAGCCACCTTACTTCAACTTGGAAATCGTTTCGAAGTCGAGCCTGGCAATGGAGGATCACGAGAGAGCTATCTTGCCCAGCATAACATCGAAACTTTCCTAATAGTATCACCAGAGGTGAGATTAATGCTCCTCTATCAATTTTTGATCAGATAATTAATGGTCTCCTAATTAATGTTGCTTCGATAAAAAAAATGCATCTATTTCTATAACCCTGGACAACCTCAGTAAAATTCGATCTACTTTATAGAAATATAAAATTAATAATTTACGTGCTCTTATTATTACTGTTATAAGGGATACTACATGAATAATTTTCAAAAATTATTTACAATTACCACAATGATGAGTAAATAAAGGTAGCAATCTTAATTTTAACGATACTCTTTACACTATATACTATCTTTGACAATTTTCATCGTATGTTCAGTTTTGCATCTCACTGTGTCTAGAAGCAATTATTTGATCATTGTCAATTACAGTCTGATTAAAGGCGATTTAATAATTAAATTTAATTAAATTTTATAGTCTGATAGACCAATCAATTTTAAAGAGAATAATACTAACATAATACATCGAAGAAAACGTGATTCGCCTGTAATGATTTTTCTCGTATTCTATTAGAAAACCAATCAAGAAGATCGCACGAATGATACCGGTGAACACACACGCGGCCCTGTCTCCATATCGTCAAGGTGAACACGGCACATCGTTCAGTTTCGGTATTTCGCTCTATTAACGTATCGAAACCACTTTTAGTTCCATTTTTCTATACATTCAAATTTAGGCTTTGAACATAATTTCGAATCGCGTAGAAATAAATTAATTAATTTGGAAATAATTAACATATTTTTCTTCATTATTTTCATACTAAGCGCTAATACATTATTAGTAGCATTATATTGAAATATATGAGCATTATTTTCATACTAAACAACAATTAACATAATAAGTTAAAAGAATAAGAATTTGTTTGCGATTCATTTCGATATTTTGCTGGTCGCAATACGAAAAACCAAAAGAGGGAGGAGAAAGTTAGAAAATGAAGAAAGACAGGGGTTGAAAGAAAAAAGACAACGACGATTACATATGCATTTTGTGTAATTTCTATCTTCATTTCCGAATAGATCAAGACCAAATAGTAAAATGACAAAATATGTTGAATGTTGGGGCGCTGATAAACCCTTTGCCAATATCGCTGAAGCTACGCTTGCCAAAAATATTGGTCTAACGGTAAGCCAATGACAAATTTCACTAGTTCCTAATAATATAGCAGTAATAACGCAATAATAAAAATACATACAAACCATTGCTTAAATATTTTGTTTCATTCATCTTTTACAGAGCATCGCGATGATTGAATCGAATATTTTGGCAAACAGCAATTCCACTTGTTTCATTGACGTAAAGTAAGTTATCCTTTCCTCCTTTTTCTTAATATTTATAAATCCTATTCATTTAATCGATTTTTATCCATCTGTTATCTATTCGAACGTGACAGACAATGGTGTCAGGGTAACGAAGGCATGTCATCACTCACTTATCGGTTTAATAACCACAACCAAGAACTTCAGTACCATCAACAAAATGACGAACAATATCCATGGTATCTTCTGGCCTCGACTATCATTTACGTTATGATCTTCGTTATTCAGATTATGTATTTACCGAGGTAAATATCTACTAGTCAGCTTATAATATGACTTTCATTGTTTTTCACAAAAATCCGACATTTAACAATCTAAAGTGGATCATAAAGTGTTTTACACGCAGACATATTTTTTACAGAAGTATCACAATTTATAGCTGTTTTCTGCCAGTTTTATCATTATTATGCATTTTTTCTATATTATCTTGGTTAAATATCAAAAACAAAATCGAAGGTAACAATATCTGGAGTTGGTTAACTTTGAACCGAGGAGTCAAAATAACGGTATACTTGATTACGGTGTTTCTAACAATTACTTCATTTATTCTTAGCGTATTATTAAACGATGCTCAACAGACAAACAAATATGATTCAATCATACCAGTACGTATTAATATTTACTTACATATATGCAAAAAGAATAATGTACTACAATTCACCTTAGTGCACTTCAATTTACTTTCCCTTCCGATAGCTTTCGATTAAATGACATTGAAAATGCAACATTGGTATTAACTAAACAGATAACCTACGATACAATGAAGCGCATTTTTACACGAAATGGGTATATTTTTTCAGTTACACATATATACTGCGGTGATGAGCCTAATCGTCGGTTGGACGCATTTACGTATCGATTTTTTGCTAAAATTTTGTGCAATGCTTTTCTCAGCAGCAGCAATCTTAGTTGCGTTTTCGCAAGCCTCGGTCGCACAATTATATTATGCGACCCAAGTTGTAAAGTAAGTAAAAATACAATTAATCGAAAGGTTAAACGAAAAATATTGAATGCTCAATCCGACACGCGATTTGTTTCGCAGAAATTATCACATTCATTACCTATTTCAAATTGGTTGTTTGCTCGTACTTGTCTGCCTCGTGCTCCATGTTTTAGACAGACAAATTGAATATACATCGAGGACGGATTTTCTGTGGCAAAGTAAACTGAATATAGAGCAGGATGAGGTCGAAACTATGAGAGGTATTAATAAGATTCTTCTCGAAAATATACTACCTGGTCACGTAGCAGATCATTTTTTAACGAACGTCAGAGCAACTCAGGTGAGGTGCCAATAACCTTACTTATGACATTTGCTATTTAAATCTCGACTTAAAACGACAACAAGAACAAACGCAAATAAATACAAAATATTATATATACCACATTTATTCAAAAATTCTTGTTACCATTTGAAGTTCTTTTATAGGATCTTTATCATGAAAGATACAATAGTATTGCCGTGATGTTTGCATCCATACCAAACTATAAGGAATTCTACGACGAAACTGATATAAATAAACAAGGATTGGAATGTCTGAGGCTTTTAAATGAAATTATATGCGATTTTGACAAATTATTGCTTAAACCAAAGTTTTCCGGAATCGAAAAAATTAAAACTATCGGTAGTACTTACATGCTGGCCTCTGGTCTTAGTCCAGGGAAAGAAGATACCGAAAAAAAGGTAAAAATACGTCGATATGTTCTATACACGTTTATATTACGTCAATATACACCTTTTTTCTCATTGCCTTGTTAGAACAATACTATTATATTAATTATACTTTTTAGAAGTTTCATTTAAACTTTGATTAAAAATAAAAAAAAAAAACTTGTATTCCTCAACTTTTCAGGAACCCTCGAAGCAACAAGATCATAATATAATTATTCTCGTTGAATTTGCCCTTGCTTTAATGACTATTCTAGATCAAATTAATAAGGAATCTTTTCAAAGATTTAAATTGAGGATAGGTGAGTGTTCCTGGTATCTATACGCGCGCATGTGTGTATTTTAGATTAACAAAAAGGGGTAACAACAATAACAAATGAAGAGTAATATTTTCGAAAGCCTTACATGTACAGAAAAAAAGAAAGAAAGAAGAAAGAGAGAAGAAAGATGTTGTCACTTGTATGTTTATATCTATAGTATATTATACGACAAATTTTTTCTGGCAAGGTTTGAATCACGGACCTGTGATAGCGGGTGTGGTTGGTGCACAAAAACCTCAATATGACATTTGGGGTAATACCGTAAACGTAGCGTCAAGAATGGATAGTTGCGGAGAAATGGGAAAACTTCAAGTTACCGAAGACACAGCCAAAATTCTAATCGCCGCTGGTTATAAACTAACGTGTCGAGGACCAACTTATGTCAAAGGAAAGGGAACTTTAATAACATATTTCGTAAAAACACCATTCGATGATAAAGAGGAAAATTCCTAAATAAACGATATTCATTTATTTAGGTATGTTCGTTTTGAATTGAAGAAAATATAAGGATACAAATTAAACAAAAATAATTAAACAAAAGATTCCGAAAACCAAATGAAATCGAGTAAAACCATAATTTAGTTTAAGTCACAGTCATTCATTTTGTTTAACGAATGAAATTGACTGCGTTGCATTTGCTACTAAACAATTACTTGTAATTATGAAATCATTAATTGCTTAATACAATTACACATATATTACTATCGCGTAAACGAACAATCATAAATTGTCATTGTGTTACCGATAAAATAAAATTATAATCTTTAACCATTAACTATTGAAATATCTTCCAATTGAAATATTTATATTTGCATTCATACATGATTGAGTTAGGAATAAAAGTAAATTGATCAGATAGAAAAAGAATGGAAGGGAAGAAGCAAAAAGGAAGAGAAAATAAGGGGAAAAATTGAATTATTTTTGTTTCTTCATCACTCTTATGAAGGGAAATCACGCGTAACAATGGCCTTGATTTTGCATACACCATTCAGGTTGCAAACTTTCAGCAGCGATTCCTCTTTCTACCAATCGTTCCCTATGCTTAAGCATTCTTTGTTCGGCATGAATCCAAGTTGAATTCGGCTCTGCCCACAACCTCTCGGCAAATGCTGCGACTCTAGGCCAAATTTTCGCATCAACTGATACACTATCCACTTGCTCCGTCCAAAGAGCTGCCTCACCTCCTATTACAAAGATGCACACGTACGATTATAATTATTGTCGTATCGCTATCGATTTCTTTTTCTTGTAAAAGCTGCTTGCTTTTTAAATATGCAAAAAGCAGGTCAAATAAACATTTCAGCTAACGGTATAGTACAGTCTTTACATTTCAATTTGAAGACAATATTCACCTAATACGAATTTCTTTTTATTCTCGAGATGTTGCGATTTGATAATTTTCAAAGGGGAATTTTCATAAATGAGTTTCCATCCTTTATATGGAGCACACCAATTATTACCCTCGCCTATCCAGGCTGAAGACCTAAGAAGGGGATACAAACAGAAGAAAAGTGAACCAAGTTATAGTCGAACATTAATATCAACTACTAAGCATACTATAACTTGAAAATATATTTTCACCTACCCACAATCTAAATAGAGAG